ACGGTGGAAAGCTATGAGAATACTGGTCATTTATTAGACTCCGAAGTGCAGGTCACTGCATTTTAACCTGTTTCCTTCCCGTCGCCCCAAGTTAGTCGTTTAATTTATGTGCAAGATTATCGAGGTTACGCTAGGGACCTACAGCTCTATGGAATCGTTATTCGATTCACATAGGCTGAAGGTAGTTAACACTTCTTCAAATATTGAAATCAATGGTCTTAACGCTCTAACAAATGTGTTAGAAATCACTGGTGTTTTTTGATGATTATTTGTTTCATGTCATATTTGATAAATTCCCCAAAGTAACTAAACGGAGGAGATTCCATCGGTCACGGAAAAACCTCGCCCACTGGCACGCGATTTCCTGTCACGAAACGACCCTTAAAGTTGACCGACACGGTCAGCATTAATCGTATGAAGCCAGCACACGTCGGCGACAGTGCACTACCTGACAAGTAGAGGTTCAATGCTAAATCCGTCCAACTTGCTAGCAGGATCCCTATGTATGCCAGACCGCTGGCAATCGGGTTGTATAGGTAAGTGATTATGGTGGTAAATTAAATGCCCAAAATAATTTACTAAGTCTTCGGCATTGATAGTAACCACAATAGTTTTACTGGACACACCAAGCTGTAGGCGCTCCCACTCATCATTTAAATACACTGTCTATCCCTTCCATCCCTAAATCTGAGCACTACCAGGTTTCAGATATTCTTGACCTGAAAGGTTTAAAGGGTAAAATCGTCGTAATACTAACAACATTCGTGACATCTCGAGGGTCTTTGTTAAATGAACTCAGGGGTTCCGATGATAGAGTTTGTGATGCAACTGGATCCTAGTAGAAAGAAATTTAATCCTTTAATTTTGCGAATGTTTATGGTAATTTGCAGATGCATAACATATAACATTTATAACTATATCTTAGGTTATTTCATATCACAAGGACTTTTCAATGCATACAAAACACCGTTATAGCATGAGAATTCTTTGAAATGAATTGTCCATAAAATACAGTGTCGCATTCACTACCCACTATGTGTATTCACACTTAATAATGGATTGTGAGCGACTCAGTTAAACACCGTTTACCTTATTATTGGCCAAAAGGTTAATTCTGCAATAATAAATTTAAAAATTAACATTTTATAGGTGCGGTAATAAATTCGATGTGTGCGTTTTCGTGTGAGTCGAAATTAAAAAAACTTGGTTGTAAACACGAACACAGTGTTGAAAACATAACTTAATGATGGAAGACTTTTGCTGCAAGTTTATAAGTTGACGTTTAATAATGTTTAGCTGTCGATTTCAATACTGAGATGCTTCGATAGTATTTGGTTTGTTTTAAACCGTAAGATTCCACTCTGAGTAGCATTTAAAATGAATAAATGCTTATATCTTGTTTGAAAATCCTTACTATTTCTCCATAACTGTTAACTGTACAGCATTGATGCCTAAGTTGTAACAGCCGGACAAGTTTGTGAAAGGAACTTGCAGAAATAGCGTTTCTCAACAGGATGTGAGACATAGGGCACCAAGTAGAACTCAGTAGTTTCTTTTAAACGTTTAACATGAGCTTAACAACATAAAAGGAGGGAGGGTGGAGTTACTGACCAGCAAACATTGATGTTGTGGGCGATAACTTCAAACCACTCATGTTTGTGGGGCAGAACATTTTGTTTGCTTTCGGCTCTTTAGATTGATGAGACGACTAATCAGTAACACTGAGGTTGCTCTTATACGCTTGCTACTTCTGTGGTTCATGTTTCCAAAACTATGCTGAGGTCGCTATTCTGTCGAGACACCTGCAACATTCTTACTCAGGCGCTTACAGTAGGACTTAGAGGTTGGCATTCAATAATAATAATAATAAACAGTTAGACAGTGCGAAATTTTATTCATCAAAGTTTTTTTTTTACAAACTCTACTCTTTCGACTCCAACGTACATAAATCCAGCTTCTTACTTCGACTTCTCTTCTATCCACCTGACACTGCACAACTCTTCCTTCTTCTTGCTGTACTCCTTTATCTAAGTGTTATATTCTTATATTCCCATAATTTACTTTAATTTAAGTGGTCATTATGAATTTTATCTTGACTTACTACTGTATTGACTACTTCAACATGACAGGTTAAGTAGTGCTCTGGTTATATATATACACTTGCCACACTGCTGCCTTTTCCTCTCTCTCTTCTCCTTTTCAGAACCCCATCCTTGGCGACTCTAGGGAACATGCACCCTATGTACACGACTGTCTGGATCACAGCTCGTATCAAGCGCGTTCCATATGACCTTTCCGAACAAATTCACTATTGATCTCGACAAATCGCCAAAAGAACCTATTGTGCACCTTAATTATTTGTACTCTACTATTGAAAATATGGCTGTATTATACTGTTTCTGTCGGTGACATGGTGTAAATATGCTATCAGAAACTGACTGTTATACTTAATTTAACTGCTATAACTTTTACAGTGAATGTGAAAGCATTTGCGATAATTTGATCTAGCCTGTAAACTGGCGTGACTCTTGCAACGTAGTTATTTGAGAGTAAATAAATATATAAATAATTTCAACGGCAACTTTCACGTGACTGCACATGATCGGTCTATGCAAGATTAGTTACTAAATATTATCCGCCTTCATAGAAATAGGACAAAATCATCAAATAAAACTCTGAAACTCTCCAGGGTTACTTTGACGTTTCAATGATGTGGTATATATAACGTAATTAATAGTCTAACAGGCTATACAACTCAGAGATACCAGACCAAACACGAGGTAATAATGGTATAATTCTTCGATTCGCATGTTGTATATTGATTCCGCATAGGTTCTAAAAGAATCTAAACAGAATACGTTGCATTTCTAACGAGAAAAAATTAAGATAAAAATAAAGTACTTTTCTTCTAAACTTTATTGCTATTATTAGTTATAAACAGCTTACTGATAAACAAATTTTTCGGAGAAACATTTTCAAGCATCATCAGAAAAGCAGTTATACACAAAGTGTTCGCATTCACTGCTATTAAACAGGTTACAGAAGAATATTGAGGTGAATAAGGAAACAACCCTAGATATGCGTGAAAATCACCTAATTTGTACGTTCGTGAAAGGGAATAAAAGTGGCCGTCAAATTATGTACTACACACGTCCCATGATTCTGAATCTGGTTATCATGGTCGCTCCTGGTTTCCCGGCTCAGCTTAGTTTCATCCTGTACCTGAGGCGTTTACTTGCCCGAGCCTTCCGAACGCCACCTTCACATTCTGGATACAAATTCGTCGAATGCGACACGCCAGACCAAGCAGCAAATATGGCACGTTATTCCTGTTACCCTCCTACGCAGAAGACCTTCGGTGACAACCCAAACATCATGGATCGTTTCTTGTTGGTCATACCTTAAGTCCCACATCACACGCTTGCTAGTCAGTCCCATGGACGAATCCGCTACGATTCGAATGTGGTCATCATTTCCAGCGAGGAATGCTGGAGTGATTTCAATTTTACGAAGAAAAACACGATGTATGAAAAATGAGATTACACTATGGCCACGCTACCTACTCCATTTTCCGGTCGCCATCTGATTTCGACTGCTCTGTTCTAATATCGGTCCTCAGGCACGGCCCAATACCACATATGGCGGTTCTTCATAGAGATAAACCGGTTTTAGTTTATCAGTGATTACAGTGTTTGTATATCCTTGTTTTTGCATCACAAATATTGAAGATTTCTTGGGGCTACTTGCAACGGCCCCTCGAAAAGAACACTGTTTGCTTCTTTCACTACGTCGCAGCTTACATAATAGTGCTGGCAAGTTCTATCATTCCATTAGTTTGAGGACGATATGCTATGCACCGTAGTCTGTTAAGGCGTTGGAGTTTTGACTAAACTGCCGAATAGCTCAGATTCAAATATAAATCCTCCATCAGTTGTCATAATGATAATTGCACAGAAAATTATCACCCATAACTACAATCAGTTATGGAAATAACTAACAGACGCTTCCCAAGCAAATGCACTTCTTCAGTCTATGCGAAGAGTAATTTAACGCGACTACCCCAGAATTACTAATAACTCTCTTTAAAGCATACGCTTGACCCTACCTTGAGGTTCTAAATGCTGTTACACCTTCCGGTTTCAAAGGAGATATAAGCTTCGTGGATCGACTGAAGTGATGGACAACTAAATGTACGAACGGATTGGAACTAAATATTATGAGGAGAGAATACAACACCCCTGTTGAGATATAGGGGAATAAAAGGTTATTCGATGATGATTTTCAAGACATTCAGCACTCCATGTCACTCTAGAGCAAACATCCTACCAGTTCATCGTCACGACCCCCGGGGAAACCCCGATAAATCTCACATCAATGAGAAAGCACCCGACTGCGCTTTCAGATTCCCTTATTTACTTTTATCCCCATTTATAATTCCTCTCAGCCGAATTAACCACGGCCCGCTCAGTGAACAGCTTTAAAATGAGGGTTAACAAACACACAGAACATTATCGCTCTCCTGGATCAGCTGTGCCTACTGTTTGCCTCAAAACTTGTCTTTTGTTCTCATCAAGAAATGTAATCAAACAAACCTATCTCCCATACTATGTGCATTACCAATTAGTTTGTTTATGTACCAACTTCATACTTAAAATATTCCTCACCTCTCAGAGTATTCTCTTGATTATTTCCCACACTGCATCTAACCGATCCCTGATTGGCAGTGTGATAGCCACTGGTATCCAAAAACCCTATTCCTCTGAGACAGACGCACTCACCAAAAGCCTGATTAATAACTGCCAAATGAATAGAATTAATGAAGTGCATTGGCTAGACTGTCACCCATTGGACATTAACAAACACTGAAACCCTACCGAAATAGCAAAAAACTGGCACAAAGAAATCAGTTGGTTTATAATAAATCATGAGGAAGATATTGGAGCCTAATGAAATCAATCTGTTGATGCTCATTGGCGAAAAAGATATTTGTAATTGAAAGGCGCGCAGTTTAAGATTCTGCGTTACATTATCACGAGTCTTCGGTGTCACAATCATATGGGAGGGAACTGAGCTCCAAAAAATTGCCAGTTTTGCGGTAAATAACTGTCAAATTATAATGATACATTCATTTTTGTTTGAACTGGTTTTTATGATGTAAAAGTCAAAAAGCCCAGTTAAACGAAATTGGGGAAGTGAAGGCAAACTTTGGGGAAATACTGACAACATTGGCTAAGAGAATTTGATGTAAAGTTAGGCGACATTGCGTCAAAATGTTCCCGCTTTTGCCTAGGCTTGGAAAATAACGAGACATTTAGCCCAAATATCTTACAAGAGGTTAAAGGTCTTTGGATTTACACTTTGTAGTCGCCAAATAACCTATTTTTCGCCTAAATAGTCCACATCAGATGTAGAAATGGACGTTTCGCCTTCGGTCCCCACATTCTTGTTTAATGGCTTAAGCTTAGGTATTGTGTTTTGAGGCGACAGTAGGAAGTTTTTGTTCTTATCACGAATTTACGACTTATTTTCGTCCACATCTGTTTGTGCCAATACGCGATTAAGAACTTGTTGTTTATTGTTGTATTAGTTGAATCATAATTAAACTGCACAAACAGAAAACGTCCACCTGCAATCTCTTATTTTAGCTCTCAGTCAAACAGGCGAATGTGAGGGAACTGCATTATGGATCAGTGGCCGTTAAGTATTGATCCAGGACGTTATCTCATTGTTATTCATCTCGGACTCAGAGCAAGGTCTTATTGCCAGTCCTGTTCAGGAATGGTCTGATGAGTGTTTCATAATCGTCTGAAAAAGCATTTTGCCCGTTTATCATGTTTCTCGTATGCTGAAGCCTAACTTTGCTTATTAAATTTCACTTATCGATAACGGCCAGGAATTACACACACTTGTAGATGTATTTCCGCATCTTTTTTTGCTAAATTGACTATATAAATTCCCTCATTAATGGTTTAAAAATCAACCGGATCAATTTTTTACCAATAACTTTTCTTTAGCCATTTTTTTACAAAAAAGTTTTGTTTTATTTATCACCATATAAAACTGAGGAGCGTCTTATAACCCACTAAAGTAATTGCTCTGCACTCTTCATCAAGTGGTCTACATTTCTCATTATAGTAGCACTACAACCTGCGGGACTTTATGAGTCTTGAAGATCAGTTAAGAATGTTCGTAGCATCAGAATGGGTAAAAAATATTACTTCTTTAGTCGCACTGTTTGATAAATTTGGAAATATGGCCGTAGTTTTTCCTAGTGATATGTATGATATCACTAACCTAGGTTGTTGGACTAAAGCAGACAAAATTTCTAGAATTTTGATGGTGCCTGAAGATTTGTGTCGGAATTCCAAACGTTCAGCCATGAGATCCAAGTTAAAATTGTCTAAGGTGTCATTGCTAAACTGCAAACAGTATTATCTCTACCGTCACATGGGCTTTAGCTGTTTCAATAAATGTACTTATCTGTATTTGAATCGCATATCTGCATCGGGAACAATAATAACAATCAAAGTTAACTTTAGTGAAATGATTTTGATGTTATCCATTATTGTCATGATAACCAGTCCCATCAGTGTTGACTTATTCTCATTCTGGGTTACATCGTTTGCATTTTTCAGTTTGCCTTAATGAATGTTAATGTGTCGTGACGCTCATTTTTATTTTCCAATCCTTTCAGTCTCAGCATAGTGTACTTGTCGTCAACCTCCCGAAAGCTTTTACAGAAAGTTGGCTGCATCAGTTATCCAGTTTCTGTCTGTATAACTGAAATGTCACATGTTTTACGTAAAGTACAATACTTCCAAAATTTGACGTCACTCAAACACTATTTCGGACCTTCGCTTGTCAACCGTAAGAAGCTTTTCATTTTATAGGTTTAATAGGCTCAATAAGAAAGCTTAGTGGAAACTCCATTCCTCCCTCCAAAATGTAATCTGAAATATATTATGTACTTTAATGGTTCTATTTTAGAGTAAATGTTCAGTTTGTTGATCGTCATGGTAACACCAGACATGTCGAAGGAACAGTTGGAGACAATTTAATGATATTAGCTCGCCAGCATAATATTGAAATTGAGGGAGCCTGTGAAGGTTCTCTAGCATGTTCTACTTGTCATGTCTATATTAATCAAAAGTATTTTGATCTACTCCCATCTGCTTCTGAAGGGGAAGAAGATATGTTAGATCTGGCTGTCTTCCTACAAGAAAACTCTAGGTTATGTAAGTTATATGTAAATATCCTATTTCTTCGTCATGGTTTAGTTTGTTTCACATTTGGTCTTGTGATTACGTACATATTGTTTTAAAAAGATCAAGATTGCTGTATGATACATCTTAGCTGTGACAGTTTTTAGAACCTGTGGCCTAAAATGTAATGAACAACGTCCTCCTGCTAATTGGTCGCTTATTTCCTCTGTTCGCTAATGTTGTTTTTCTTCATATTCGCGTTACTCATTATATTTTATAAGAACAAGAGAAGTCTAATTAGCAGAATTAAATAACTCGCTAAAAAAAATCGCTAACAGAAAAATAATTCAAACCATATAAACCCAAATGTGGGAGTTAGGTCCTCATTTAGAAGAGTTATGACGTCTCATGATGCAGGCAACCTGGTTGGGGTCCGCGAGATGAAAGTTACCGATGGTTAGAGACCTTGAACGATATGGCTCGAAATCGTTTGCATTGGTGCAAATACATCCACTCTTTGGGTTCTCTTATGTCCTAACCTTCCTAATTCCTCGTCACCTTTATCTTTTTCTTTTTAAAACTATTTTACTAAATTCTACTTGAATAATAACCTCGAGCCCTAATCTCTCCGATTACTGTTAATACTTTTACTACCTCCACTACTATAGGATTTGAATTGGCAATTGCATCTCTGCGCTAATGTGGTATGACAACTTTAACTGATATACGAACGTACGAAGTTCTACGTTGTAAATGACTGACTGATGGATGAGGTTGAAGACAACATAAGAAGTTGAAATAAATAAACGAAGTTTTAGGTTGCTGTTGATGATGACATCCCATCCTACTAAATTTAAATATCACCATCTCTACCTTCAGTCTTATATTATATTTATTTAAACAGATAAACATCAAATGGGGGACCTAGATATTTATGCGTCTCACAAATCAGTAAATATGTGTAGGTTGGGATACTGTTCATATGCACAAAGCAAAACAAGTGGTTTTCCTAAAAGGATACGCACTGAGCATTCGACTTCTAGGTCTTATCCACAAAACAGTGGAACAACGCTAGAAGATGCAGTCTCATAGTAGCCAGTGAGTTCATATGTCAATGTTTCCATCAAGATGCTGGAGTCCATGTACTCCATTAGTTTGGGATCAGAAATTTCCGACTTCGTACCTACGAACTAGATTCAAGCGCCGGACATTGACTTTTCGTGAACACTAGCCGGTCAAGAGAAGATATTGAACAGAATTTCCCTTCTAGTGGTTATATACGCGTGGCCAAGTGAGAACATGTGGAGAGGGAGAATGGACTTTCTCTACTCTTAGCCTTATCAGGGCATTTAGGGGTAATAGTTATAACTAAATATCCTATTCCCCCATTCTGCTCTGGTTTGTTTCTTTTTTTCTGATTACTCACATGTTGTTTTAAAAAATATCCGTAGTCACAATGTCTCGCTCATAGTCGGTATATTACCGACCGTCAGATGTGATTAAAATGCTTTTAGTGCATAAATTTAAATAGAATTTAAACTGAATTCCGGTTATCAAGCTACCCTCTGAGTATTGACCGTTAAGTATCATTGCTTCCAAAGGAATATTCATAAGGACACCTTTAATCAGTGATGTTAATAGTTCTTTTACCTTTCAATATAAGCGTTTACAGGTTAGCCCTAATTTCTGATTCCTAACCAATAGCTCCGTTCGTAAATAGCTATATTTATTGATCTTACAAACATACTGAGTTTAATTTCGTTTCGACTGATATCAGTTTCATATTTTTAGATTGTTACACTGTCAGTTCTGTTAGTGATTCCCTTCTTTTGAGCCTCTTCGTCTTCTAATATTTTGATTGGACAACTATAAGAATTTACTTATGTCTAAATTAATCTTGTAGAATTAATATTTCATTGTGTACAGCTGTTTCATTATCTTACTTTAAATAAACAGTTTTTATTATCTGTTTTATTTAGCTTGCCAAGTAATATTAACCAAAGAACTAGATGGGATGATAGTCACTCTACCAAAAGCTACACGAAATTTCTATGTTGACGGACATATTCCACAACCCCATTAATAGTCATCATCATGTCCACTGTATATATTAATAATAATGATAATGTCAGAGGAATTAAATAAAAGCAAACGTTATTTCAAAAGATTTGTTCCTTTTGTTTTTCACTGTACTAGTCAGTTTTCAATTGGCATGTTGATGTTTTTCAATGTCGGTTTTTGGTCACGTTAGCTCAATTTTATACTATAATTTTTCAATCTGGTCTATCACATCAGCTGTTTGTTGCAGAGAATTACGTGTTAAACTTTATTTGATTTAGTGCTATTTAAATTTACTTATTTATTAGCAGAGTATACATGTACAACTTTATTATATTTCTAAAGAACGAATCATTAACTCGTAACGTTGTTTTGAAATCATGAATCGATCAATATAAGACCACCATTAGAAACCTGGAAGCACTAGACGGATGCTTCGTCCTGGTATGGGACTCATCAGCAGTGCGCATCCACGACTCCTGCACCTCACATAATTCGGACCCAGGACCGTCGGTCTTGCGCGTGAATGCCTAACCTCTGGACCACTAAGCTGATATCCAACGGTGTTAATGTCTAACTTCGATCAATGCACGGCCTTGCGCAGCCTCACCCACTGTCTTCGGTGAGCACTGCTTCACACCCGAACTGGGTTGATCAATGTCTATTAGCATTAAACTAGAGTCAACCGTAGTTTTCTTATGAATGATCGAATGCGTCATACAACTTAGTAGTCATTTGTATGTGTGATGTAATTAAGATTTGGTACTCTCATTGATTTAACTTTTGAAATAGATTTATATCTATATAGAACTTAAAGTGGAATAAGTGGGGAATTATCGAACTGAAAATGTTAATTCATAAATGTACTGTTACAAAACAAACTATCAGTCAGTCGATCAAACGCAATGTAAAACTCGGTACATGTGTGCATCAGTTCAAGTTGCCATTCCTCCTTACCATTGCGAGATGTAATTGTCAGAAAAAATCCCGGAAATAGTAACAGTGTTAGTAGTAATAGAATAAAATTAGGTATCAAAGGTATTATTTGGAAAGAGATCATAAATTCGTTAAATAATAGAAGAAATGTATGGGATATTCAGAAACTTCGCATTTAACGAAAGGCAGTTCTATCATACTAATCTGAAACTTACAGAACTACTGCAACTATCATCAATAAAGTACAGGTATTTATTAATAGCTGTCTCTGCAAGATACTCCAGATGTGTTGGTCAGACACCATCAGCAACAACATCCTGTAACAGAGAACGAACTAGCTTCCAGCTTAAGATAAAATTAGAAAAGGACCCCTGTAAGTGGATGGAATCAAACTGTATCACATATCAATTCCTAACTTGGAATCCTTAAAACAAAAGGGAAAGAAGAGGACCGAAGAACAAATTGCTGCGGGAGTTGGAGGCAGACATCAAAGCGATAGGTTGCACTGGAAAGGAGAACTTAGGATAGAGTAGGCTGGATAATCCTGGTTGGCGACCTATGCTCCATAAAGGGTAACAGGCATAAGTTAGTAAATAAGTAAATTGAATGTGCCTCTATCCTAGTGTTGATGCTCCGATTGAGATAAGAATTTAGTACCTTTCACCATTAGTATGTCGAGGCTCTCAGGAAGCCGATATGCTAACATAGACTGATCAAAATTCATTCCTGAATATCAACAAGTGGATTATTCGAACCCTTATCAATAATGGTATATAAAAGAAGAAATGAATTTGAAGAAAGATAAAGAATGTGTACAGTAGCACCTTTTCGACAGATCTTCAACCGCATCCCCTATCTTTTTTCCCACTTACTATTTCGTCCCACTTACATGGATCATTCATTAAATGATAACCAGTGTAATGAATATCTACTCCTTATTACTGACTGAATTCTATCTGTTAAGTTACTATGTAGCCACCAGTCGAAATGTCTCCGACTGGAACACTGAGATCTATCTTGATGAGAGCATCCGTTTTTTATTGAAGATTGCTGATGCACCTTGTTGATGAGTCCCAATTTATCCTAGACCTAGTTATTTTGTTGGGAATTTTTTCTAGACACATGATGTTGGGTTTTGTCATTTTCTCAACGATGGCTTATTTTTGAAACCTGCAAATTTAGAGAAAAATTAAATTTTATACCGTTTATTCTTTTAATTATTTTGAATAGAGTCATAACATTTGCAAGCGAAAAAAATGAATTTGTGCTATTTTGCTTGGTTTCAAACTTACAATAAATACTAAGGTTACCAGAAGCTCAAAATGCTCTATTTAATGGCACTCAGATGTTTGTTCAAAAATGAACTGGATTTTTAATTAAAGATATCTACAACGTTTTCATTGTCCACTAAGTATATCGTACTCAGTGCTTTCAATTGTTTCCCCATCGATTTACTGAATGAATACCACATGTAGAGGTATAATTTCCACTAAAAAATTCTTTTCAGACAGATATATTTATCGTTAAAATCACGAACTGATTTAAGGTAAACAACCATTAAAAATGTCAGAGTACTGAACGGTCGTTTCATTCTATCATGAAACTCAGCAATGTGCATCCACAACTCAGCTCATTCTAACCGAATATTGAGTTAGCATCCGACCGTTCGATTCCAGTTTGTGCGGACTTGGATACACCTTGCTGAGAAACCACACACTGAGATGAAACGAGGATCCAGTGGTTTTCAATGATGGTCTGACTTAAATCATTATGTCAATGAAATTCAACAATCCTACATTGACAGATATAATTATTCTCAACGATGTGCTATGAACATGTTCACTTAAGTGTAACCTGATATAACAGATGAAAAGTACAACCTGAAATGAAACTTACAATGCTTACCCAATGACTAAAGCTGTTGGATACAATACGATTAATAATAAACATTAAGAATGTTACCAATGAACTATTTAATTATAACATTATGATAATCCGAATCAATGTTTATTATCATGTTAAAAATTTAGTTATACAAAGTATGGAAAAGTAGATACCAAATAATAATACTAATAATAGCAGTTACTGATGACACAACCGAACAGCATAATTAGAGTGAAATTAACCTACTTATTGAATATAAATCAAATTATTACTAAAAACAATATACAAATGCTCTGAATAGACACCAATCTTTGTTTACACTTTGGTAGATTTGATTATAACAATTAGTTCTGATAATTTCTTTATTTTGGGGCACAGTTTTGGAGGTTTGCGCAAAATTCCTAGATCAATCAGAGTTAGACATTAACACCGTTGGATGCCGGCCCAGTGGTCCGATGGTAAGGCGTTCGCCTACAGTGCCAAAGGTCCCGGGTTCGAATCCTGCGAGGAGCAGGAGTCGTGGATGCTGATGAGTCCCATACCAGGAAGAGACGGCCGTCCCGTGCTTCCAGGTTTCTAATGGTGGTCTAACAATGATTGGTTGATGATTTCAAATTTCTTTATTACTCAACGATAAAGCTAATCGAATCTCTTTTAAATACACTCCAATTGTCTGAATATCTTCTTCAAAGTACCCGACTTACTTTTTTTTGTGTGTGTATTATTCTCAACATGCTTCTTTCATTATTGTACACGGAATCATAAATATTCTCCGAGCTACAAATATTTTTCAATGACATGTTAATACTATTCTAGTTGAATATATATGCTACGGTTCACATTACAAACTTACCATAAACAACTGTTCAAAACTAGGAAGTAATGGATAGTTGTTTTATCCTGGTATTGGAATCCTCAAGCAATAAGCATTCACACCCGTCTAACCCATCACCATGTTTCTCTCTGAACGTACTAGCACTTAGACCGCAATTATTCATTCGCTTACACCCTTAAAATTGGTACAAAAGGGCACCAAAACTTAAAAAGCACATAATCGAATTTGTGAATGTGTTGGAATACTTTCCGGGTGCCAACACTGAAGCAGGAGGCACTCTCAGAGAACCACACCCCAAGCCCTTGACCTAGAGGTCTACAAAGTAGTGGAGCAATGTTAGGAGATTCAGTTGTATGGTAACCAGTAACCAAGGCCAGGGTTGTACGCCATTTTCCCTACAGAATACTCGGACCCATGTACGTCACCGGTTTAGAATCAGGGTTTTTCAACTCCCCCCCCCCGGTGAGTCCTGTGTACTCGTTAACCCGGCTTATGTATTAGACATTGGCTTTTCGTCCTCTCGATTTCATGAACAACACCCTACCACGAGAAGGCAATGATTAGGACTTTCCCTGTGTTGGCTACACATACGTGGCTATATAAGAGCATTTCGATAAAAAAAAGTGTCTTTCGTTGATCAATTAACCGTTTATCATGCTTATCAACTGTTTAAAATCACCTAAATTCAAACAAAATTCTATGGTATGTTGAACTACTGAGATCTCATTACAGTCTGTCTGATATTATTTAACCATCAATATACACCAAACAGTGTACTAAACTATAAGGCTTCTAATTATGTATCTTGGTAATTATTGTATTCTTAGCTCTAAGGTCTATGGAACAAATAAAATCTATTGACCAGAGAATTGATTTCTATTGGTTGTTAAAATCTTCCTATTGATGCAATTGATCATTCTCTTTCGGCATATGTACATCCTGTGCGGATTGCCTTGATATTGCGATTAAATTTAAAATATTATCAACAGAGGTAGGTGAATAGTGACAAGTAGTGGAATCGAAGACGTACGTTCAGTCAGCTGGATGTACCTACATCCTAGAGTTAATGTTCACTCTGAGACTTAAATGTATTACCGTCCGCTTTAAACGCCATCATGTTATCCACTTAGCTAATGAGTCCAGATAGTAATATCGAGGCAATTTGTAGAGGATGCACATATGCCAAAAGAGATTAATCAATCTTAGTAATAAACATCAATGAGAAGATTCAAACAACCAGTACAAATATAGTAAACATCATCCCATTGCACAAGCTACTTGCTCTCTGAACTCAGTAGCCAAGTGCATAGTGCGGTAGTACTGGAGTACAGGGGTTTGAATCTCCGAGTGAACATTAACGCTTGATTCCATTGCCAACTACCATTCATCTCTGTTTATATTGACCAGACCGCTAGACAAAAATAAAAAGTATCTTATTATATTACTCATAATTGAATTATTTATCTTTTGTCTTTCATTGATTTCAGTTTGTTCTTTTTTCTTTCTTCAGATCGATTACCAGTGTAATTATTTCACTGTTTCAATAATGTAATGGACACTGATATTGATCATAATCATATTAAATCAACTCCATTAAATAATGTCAGTACTCTATGGACAAAATTAATCTCTACTGAATTATATCATGTTCAAAATAATCCAAAATTATCTGTTAATTTATTAAATAAAGAAATTATTCATGTAAATAAAATTAAGAAATTAGCATCACAAGCTAATTCTACACAATTATCTGCTTCATTTTATTATCGTATTGTAAATTATATTGAACAAAATGCCACAAATGATTTATGTCGTATAATATCTTTTATAAATGAACTTGGCACAGGGCATATTTACATGAAAAGTACCAAGAAAGCTCAATATTATAGGAAATTAGGAAATGATTTATTCAAGTAGGTTTTTATACATATATATTGTGAGTTTCGTTGAATTTCATAATCCTACTACAAACGGATTTTATTTTGATAATCAATGAAAACCATCAAGCATTGACCAGTTGTTTCATTCTAGTTCAGGACTCGTCAACAGTGCTCATCCACGGTCCTATTGATGATCGAATGCCCGAAACCTTTCAGTTTCTTAGAGAGCGCTTACTCTTCAAAACCACTAAGTCCTCTACTAATAATGGGATTTACTACAATTTTCTTTTTATTGTGAAGTTAGTTTCATTTTGTTGATTATAGTAACCGTGAACTGACTTTCAATGGTTAACATATTCATCTCTAGTCAGTTTGTGATATCGCTCGACAGTCTTCCAATACCATTGGTTGTTAACTACTTCACCGTTCACAGTGTCTCACTAGATCTCTTCTTGAGGACCGCCTCTTAAACGTAGTCGCTAGTGAAGATCTTATTATTAGTAGTAGTAGTGTAGTGAAGGAGAACACAGGTGAGGGCAACCGAATTGTATTTATCGCAAATTACAGAGTTACTCAGTAAAATAGGAAAACCATATCGTAACCGTTAATTTGCAAAACACCAATCCATCATAAATCCATTGTCTGACATTTCACTATTTATGCGTTTCATACAAATTCCATTGTGTTCCCACTCTTCCTTTCTTGATTTTCCCCCATCTTCTGCTGCCAGATATTACGTTTTTACTCGCGTCATATACTACTTATAAGTAGCGCGCACCACAATAGTAGTAGTAGTATAGATTGGATTTGTGTTGATTACTAAATCTCATAGTTCACTTCACTAACTAATCTTTCAATGACTATCTGATTAAACCTAATCCACAATGTAAATGATGATGATTTATCTACTTTCTTTTAACTTCAACAAGATCACATCAATTAGTCAATTAGCCTATTTACACATATATATATTGACAAATCGATTTTGATATCTTATTTCCATATTACTAGACAAGGTCAATTGAATGAATCAGCAACAGCTTATCGAACTGGTTTACTTCATGCACCTAATGCATATTTTATGTCATCAACTAGTGAAAATAATGAATTTTGTTTAGAAGGTGCATTGTTACATGGTAATTTGTCTGCTGTATTGGCACGTCAACAATTATGGTCATCTTGTTTAGAATCTGTACTGAACGCATTGGAATTACATTTGAATGTTACAAATATTCAAAATTGTAGTAATAATTCCACAGTAATTCGTTTAAAATCTCGTTTTGAACAATGCTGTAAACAGTTAAATTTACCTATGCTTATTGAATGGGATCGTGAACTTACATCGTGCAAATTATTGGAGATTCACACCAAGTTTATCTCTCTACTTATTAATGAGAATAAAAATAGTGTAGAAAACGATTGGTATGTCCCAACACCAAAATACAATCATAATCCTTCGGTAAGTTATGAAAATATGTCCATTAAACAAAAGAATTGGTTGGCTGATAGTTTAGTTTGTTGTTTACGAATATTTATTAACATGGTCACCAGTTGTAATCCCTATACACCTTGAAAAAGCGTCCTTTTACTGAAAGTCTTCATGCCCCATAGCAAAGTGTACAGGTGACAAGATGAACAGCAAGAGAGCCAATATAATCGTACTGTCAGTGATGGCAATAAAGATCAAACATAGAGAATATGCGCAGTGTATTTGTCACAGATTGATCTCGGTTGATATATCATTAAAAGTCAGGGTAACTGGGAAAGTCGTTTCCTTCCAATATGGGACTCTTTAACAATACATACCCACAACCTCAACAGGGATCAAACCTAGGTTTTGTAGCGATCACTTGGTCAGTTTTGGGTTTAAAACTCCAAGATCTAGGGGATAATAAAAAAAATGATTTTTTGAAACACTGTTGCGAAGCTATGACCTACGGTGTCAATCAAGCTTGGTGATAAGAATTGCACTTTATTAGAATTCAATCGAAGTTGAGAAAATGATAACTATTTTATTCCAAACTACATGTCTAAATGCATTGTACTAGGTCGGAGTTTGTGCTTTCGCGATGCGTTTATACTTCTGACAACCTTAAAAAACAGAATGAAATTCATATTCAATATTCTTAGACTCAGTTATCACTGATTCTCTATATGATATCAGTTTTGAAAGCGTTAATTTAGAGCTACTCATTAATCAATCAATATCAGTATATATTAGCTCCACAAAAAACTCAGTTACGGCTTGAATAGCTTACTGATAGATAACATCTTAAACTATAAATCTGAGTGATAGGTTCAAAACCCGCAGTTAGAATCAATTCCCTTAAGATTTCAGTTACACTGTCGTGACAAACGATTACCAGTACAAAACTTAAATATATAGTTTCTTACTAACTACCTCCAGCCAACCGAGATTTCAACATAATGTAACCGATGTTCAGTCATTTTCATCTAGTGATCATATTACAATTTGATGTATTGAATTCGATTAGCACGAGGAAGATTAATTGAACATAATATTAGCCACTATTACTTAATGATAAATCAATATATACACGTTTTTTTGATTGTGATTTTTGTAGTGCTATGGACTATCAAATGGTGTACGTATTGATACAAATCATGAAAAAGGTAGACATGTCATTGCTACTGAATCCTTTGAACCAGGTGATATTATAGCGGTGGAACCTGCTGGTGGATGGGCAACACATGAAAGCGTACACTCTGACGATAATAATAACAATAATAATAATGATCAGAATACATTTGAATATCTTTTACTTCTACCATCACAACGTATGAATCAATGTTTAAAATGCTTTAATCAATTAAACTCGATTGGGTTTATTTGTCCATATTGTTGTGATGCTGCGTATTGTGAATTTTCAAATAACTCTGGTTGTAATTCTTATCATGTAAACATGTCTAATCCTGCATATTTATTTCAGAATTTTCAACAACCTGTTTGGCATATAGCAGAATGTCGGTAAGTTGTGTTTCTACGTGCTTGTTTATTTTGTGTTTTAGTGAAGTTAAATTGATTAGAATAATCCACCAGAGGTCTATTAAAGTCAGAAGGACTATCTTACGTTCTCAAGAATATATACATGTGTATATCATACTACTGTCGAAAGGACAAATATTCGACTAATGCTTAAACCTTCCTAATTTTCAACCACTTAATGACAGATTCCTGTCTCACTGCACTTACTTCGGTTTAGGCAGTTTGTTAAGATCGCTAGCCCTCGCATAATGAATTGTCGCTTCATCAATGAACTGCAACACTCTGGATAAGCATAGTTTGTTCTCATATACGGCGAGTATACTGATGTACATGGTCTAAGGGTATGTTTGCTGTTCGACAACCTTACGCAAAGGAAGTTAAGTCGATTTCCTGCTTCTCGTTCATTCTTCGGTAGCGAGTACTAATTTGTTCTCCAAAATAAGGGGGGATTTGATAGTGATTGTTGTGTAGAAAGTATCATGCGTTTATCATTAGTTTCTAGAATCTCTTTATCACATGTTGACGTGACAGTCTTTTTCCAGTGTTAGCTTTTGGAAAACGTGTGCTCAAATACTTTGATGTGTTGACCTCGATCGGTTCTATTATTTCTAAACAATTTATAAAAACAGACAATGTATTCACTCAACTCTGTGATTTTGATAACAGTTACTCAAGTTTGATCAACAATGCACAGGTTTGCTCGAAACTTAGTAGGTTTCTGAGACATCGATTCCGATTGGCAATCATACTCAGTCTCAAGCTACGATATGCAGTTATACTTTCATCAGATACCTCATTTATTGCTCAGCTTCAGTGAATGAGCATCTTGCTTTATTGATGAGTAAGCTGTTACCCAAATGCGCGTTTCGAACTTTTATGGTACCGACCTTATCCAATGATCCTGTCGCAAAGCTTATTACTCTGAAAATTTGGATAATACTCAACAAATGGAGGATATTCCTAACTGTATACTTGTTTCTTCTATTCCTACTTGTCTGGTTACATTCTTCAATGACAGTGTCATATCCTTCCCTCTAAATAACAAATATATATATAGTTAAGCATCTATTTGGCCTATGTAACCAAACAGAAATAAATCTTAAATAATTTTCAAATGGATCAACTGAACTACAAAAGACTTTCACTGAAGTAGGCTCCACATTATACAGGCGCCTATGTTATCGCGATTCACAATCGTCAGTTTCCAAATCTGACTCTTGCTGTGTAATTTGTTTGCATGTTCCCAGTTGTTGTTGTTGTCTAAAATCAGTAGGTTTAAATTATTCCTTAATAGTCTAAAGTACAATCATTGAACGATAAACTGTCGACTGCATACAGGCTGTGATATAGATGGCTATCGCGTCAACATGTGATAAAGAGATTCTAGAAACTACTGGTAAACGCATGATACTACACAACAATCCCTATCGAATGCCCCGTTATTTTGGAGAACAGAATAGTATTCTCTACCAAAGAATGAACAAGAAGCAGGAAATCGACTTAACTTCCTTTGCGTAAGGTTGTTGAGCAGTAAACAAACCCTTATACTATGTACATTAGTATACTCGCCGTATATGAGAACAAACCATGCTTATCTCGAGTGTTGCAGTCTATCCTACATTGCTCGAGTCCCCGTGAGCGATAAATCAGATAGCCCTCTGTTGATATACTCAATCTGATTATTCTTTGTTCGACTTAAGTTTTCCCGATAACCCCAATCACAAAGGGAATGGTATGTTATCGTGCACCTCATCGTTATATGATCCGCTTGGATTTTTGACATAACCTAAAAAGATTTTATAACAGTTGTGTTGTTGAAACTATGAATTGAATCAAACAGTTGATGACTTGCACGTGAGTTTTATTAAGTGAAAAATATTCAATGATCGATAGTAGGAGAAAACTGCTGTTCTTTGATTCTCATAATCTCAATTTGTCTGGTTTGGAGAAATTTCAACATTAATTTACTAAATATCTTTCTGTTCTTTATATTACCACAACTTTGTTATAGATTTATGTTTCTTTTAAATTCCATGGGATTGGGTCATTTATGCTTTCGTCTTGCATGGCTTCGTCAACACTATCATCCTTTGTCTTCCGACGAGAATCGGGATAATAATTACTCATATTTCACTATTGATCAATTAATTGAACATTTTACAAATTTTCATGTTGATGAATTATTCGAATATGCGCTTACTGGTTGGTTAATATCGAAAATTTTAAATTTTAATCAGAAAATTAATTTAAAATCAACACACAATGAATTAGTTCAAGGTCTCTGGTGTTTCGACACACTGAGACGTCTTCAATGTAATGCACATGCTATCACTGAAATTCAAATGAATTATTCTAATAGTGACACATGGTGTCCTTCATCATATCAATTGAATACTAATGATATGGTTGATTTGCAATTAATTTATCCTTTTATTTGTAAATTACAACAAATTCGTACTGCAACTGGTTTATTCCCATGTGTTAGCTTATTCAATCATTCATGTGATCCGAATACAATTCATAATTTCCAAGTAAGTCAAATGATATATAGGATTTTATTTTTAGATTTCATTTTTGTACAGTTAATTTAAGTGAATTTGTTGTGATAGTATTAAGTGATTTTCAATCTCAAAATAATTCTTAGCATACACTTACTTAAACCTGTCATCATTTAATGAAGCATAGGCCTACCAACCAGCATTTTCCAACCTACTCTGCCGTGGGCCTTTCTTTCCAGTTCAGTCTAACTGCTGTTCATTCTTTTCATGTCTGCTTCCGATTCTCAGCGTAATGTGTCTCCTGGTCCACCTGTTCTCCTTTGATCCTGAGGATTCTAAGTGATTGCTTGCCCTGTGACATAAATGGGTGCTTTCCTCAATGTGTGTCCCATCCACCTCCGGAGCTTTTTCCTAATTTCTTGCTCTGCTGGAATTTCGTTTGTTCTCTCCCACAGTAGGTTGTTGCTGATAGTGTTTGGCCAACGGATCTGAAGCATGTTACATAGACAACTGGTAATAAACACTTGTATCCTATGGTTACAGTACTAGATATAACATTATCTTCGTCCGACTTTTCAGGAGTCGACTTTCTACCAGGAAAATCGCTTACTGACCCAGAATATGCCGATGACTTAGTCCTACTTGGTGAAGACGCTGAAAAAATGCAGTCTTCTGACTACCCTAAAAAACAATGCAAGCATGTTCGATATGCGGTTCTCCCCGTCCAAATGCAAAATGTTGCTTCAAGATTGGGTTGCGTCGACACCTGAACTAGTGATAAGGAGTGAAGTAGTCGAACGTGTAGACCGCTTCACTTAACTTGGGAGTCTCATCAGTGCTGATGGCCTGGTGACTGACGAAATTTCAGCACGGATACAGAAGGCTGGATTGGCTTTTGCCAACCTGCGTCACCTATGGCGCAGGCGAGATATCCGCTTGCTAACCAAAGAACGAGTGTACTGTGCAGCAGTTCACTCCGTCCGACTATACGGATGCGAAACATGGCCGTTATGAGTAGAGGACTTTCGCAGGTCACTGGTCTTCGATCATCGGTGTCTCTGAAGCATTGCTCGTGTATCGTGGGACAACCGTATAAGCAATGCTGTCGTTAGGAAACGAGTTCTAGCTAGGGATGGCAAATCAATAGATGAAGTAGTGAAATTTCATCAGTTGGCTAACCACCGACTGCCGCGACGAGGTATGTTTTGTGGTGTAGGAGGAGGTTGGAAGAAAGAGAGGGGTGGCCAAAACATGGCAGAAATCCATGAAGTCACTGACAAGTGGACTGAGTCATGTTGGTAGATGTAGACTACCTGGTTGGGGTCCGCGAGACGAAAGTCACCGATGGTTAGAGACCTTGAACGACATGGCTCAAAATCGTTTGCAATGGCACAGATGCATCCACTCTTCGTGTTCTTTTTAATTCTAACTTTCTAAATTCCTCATCATCTCTATCTTTCTCTTTCTAAATTTATCTCACTGAATTATACTTCTCGAATCATATCTTTGTTCCCTAATCTTCTCCATTACTGCTAATACTCCTACTATCACTATCACTCTTGGATTTAAACTGACAGTTGCGTCTCTGTGCTGATGAGGCATGGCAACCTGAACTGATGTACTTACGTACGAAGTTCTGCGTTGTATCTGCGTGTCTGTCTGTAACAAATACACAGTAATATATTAAGTACGGCTGGTGTAAGAGTGGGTTAAAATGAAGTCAGATGTTCAGCTAGCTAAGATACAGTCTTATGAAGTCATTCACTGTTAGACTAAGCTGTGTGACTAAGTACAAACTAATTGAATGAAGTACTCGTGATCATCATGACCACTGGTTAGAGATGTTATGTGACATAATTTAAAATCGGTCTTAACGACTATCAATTTGCTCATTCTTTGTTTAGCTTCAGGCTTTTTTTCGTCGAAACGATAGATCATTATAGTATAGTAAGCTATAAAATATAATTATATAATATTATCCCTAGATATTATTGAAAATAGCATTTCATTTTAATAGTTGCATTGGGACTTTAAATGGTCAGTCAGTCATGGCTAAGTCCACTCGTCAATGACTTCATGGATTTCTGCCATGTTTTGGTCTGGCCGCCTCTAGCTTTCTTCCAACCTATTCCTACACTACAAAACAAAGCTCGACGAGGCAGTCGGTGGTTAGGCATACACAACACATGTCCCAACCACCTCAACTGATGAAGTTTTATTACTTCATCTATTGATCTGCCATTCTTACCTAGCACCCGTATCCTAATAACAGCGTTGCTCACTCGGGTGTCACAGGATATACGAGCAATGCTTCGGAGACACCTATGATCGAAAACCAGTAACCTACGAATATCTTCTACTCTCACTGGCCATGTTTCACAGCCATAAAGTAAGACGGAACGAACCACTGCACAGTACACTCGTCCTTTAGTCAGCAAACGGATATCTCGCCTTCGCCATAAATGACGCAGGTTGGAAAAAGCCAATCGAGCCTTCTGTATCCGTGCTGAGATCTTGTAAGCCACCAGGCTATCGGCACTGATGAGAATCCCCAGATAAATGAAGCGGTCTACATGCTCGACTACTTCACTCCCTATCACTAGTTCAGGTGCCGATGAAACCTAATCTTGAAGCAACATTTCGCATTTCAAGGGTGAGAACCGCATCCCGAACATGCTTGCATTGTTGCTTAGGGTAGTCAGAAGACTCTGCATTTTGTCAGCGTCTTCACCAAGTAGGACAATGTCATCGGCATATTCTAAGTCGATAAGCGAGCCACCTGGCGGAAAGTCTACTCCTGAAAATTCAGACGAGGATAAATTTATTTCTAGGAGCATGTCTATGATAAAATTAAACAAGAATGGAGAAAGTGGACATCCCTGACGGACACCACTTGATGTAGAGAATTTCGGTGACAGTTCGCCATAAGCTCTCACTCGACCAGTGGTGTTCGAGTAGAGAGCTTGTATGAGGTTAATGTACTTCTTTGGTACACCTTTCAATGACAGACACTGCCACAGAACCTCACTATCCACTGAGTCAAATGCGGCTTTTAGGTCCAGGAATACAACTATTGTAGGACGCCTAAATGTGTGTCTGTGTTCCAGGACCTGTCGTAGTGTGAAGATGTGGTCTATACAACCGCGTCCAGGTCGAAAACCAGACTGGTTTTCTCTAGTCTGCTCTTCACGAGCTTTCGTTAAGCGTCGAAGTATTATTGCGGTCAATATTTTAGATACTATATTAGTTAGACTGATTCCCCTGTGATTATCACAAGAAGACTTTTGTCCTTTCTCATAGATTGGGACAATCAGCGATTGAGACCACTCGGATGGGAGACTTTAAATGGTTTTAATAATAAATTCTATCTAGTCCATAATGTATTGGAAGTTTTTTTACAAATGTCATTTTGAATTACATTTCTTTCTATCCTACACACATAGAAATCATATTTAATTCTACGATGTTTAAAACCAATCCCACCTGGTACGGAAATATTCAATTGTTATGGACCGCATTATTTACATTATCCATCAAGTGTTCAACGTGTAGCACTTCTACAACAACAATATTTTTTTGTATGTCATTGTGAACATTGTAATAGTAAATGTGTTCAATCCTCTTCCCCTACTTCTACTTCGCTATCGTCACTTTACATCACAGATCAACAAATATCTACTGTTCCGACTAATGAAATGTTAACAGAGTGGAAAGATGCTGTTGACAAAGTAAGTGTTTTGGTTGTTGAGATTTTGTATCTTATGTAGATGACTAATGAACCTGTTGACTATTGGGTCAAGTGTGAGGCAGTTACTGACCAAAAACAATGGATTGATTAGTGTTAGCCGTCAACACCGTCAGATGCCGACTCAGTGGTCAACAGGCTAGCCGTTCGCACGAGTGACCGAGAGTCCTGAGTTTGACTGCCATTTGCAGGTTCGTGGATGTTCACTGCAGAGGAGTCTCATGCTTGGACAAAATGACCGTCCAGTGCTTCTAAGTTTTTAATGATGGTCTAACATTGATCGGATCATGATTTTAATGGAACTTAACAATCTCGACAATCCTCTACTGATCAAGAAAAGTGTTTAGAGAGTCATGATCATTGTTTTAAAAATGATCATGAGAAAAGTTAAAGGCTGATAATATATATTTTAAGAAAATGAAGTGTAAAGGTGATAATGAAGGCATAAAAGAATCGAATATCTCAAGTGGGAACTCTACAACTACTGATTGCGGTCATCCTCCAAACTCGAACCGAATAGTTTGTATGTATATCAATAGTCAATGAATTAATGAGTGATTAGTTGATTCCAATTTAAAATTATTGAATAATGTACATGCACTGTACGATTAATAGTAACTTTGAATTCACTCTTTTATGATTTGTTGAAATAAGTATTCTCTTTTATGTATCTACTTTTTTTGATAACTAATGTATTTGTTCAACCTAATGTTTCAATGCATTTCTTATAATATTCATAAACTATATTCTCCATGCATAACACTTTAGTGTTGTGTATCATTTAATAACCAATCGATCAGTCAGTTAGCCACCAAATGTCCTGGTATGGCCGAGAGTGAAGGGTATTTCGCTCTCTCCCTCCCTAAATGCTCTCATACGACCACATGTGTACAGTTATTGTCACGAAAGTCCTATTCACTGCTTTATCATGCCGGTGTAGTTTATGAAACTGAGAGAATGAAAAGCGAAAGTGTGGCGCATAAAGCAAACCGGTTAATTAGGAGACTCCACCTAGGAGAGTTGGAGAACCCTGATTCCAAACCACATGTTCCAGGATCCTGATGGAATGAATGATGTATGAACCAGCTACCATGGAACTGCGTCTCCAAACATTGCTCCATTTCCGTATGGAATAGACCTTTGGGTCAAGTGCCGTCCGAGAAAACTACCTGCTTCGATCTTGGTAGCCGGAAAGAATCCCAGCCCACTCACAAATTTACTAATTTGTGTGGCGTATAAATATTTAGTTGTCCCTTTGTACTGAAGTTTATGCGGTTAAATTAATAAACAGTCATATGTAACCTATAACCTGTCACAAATATATGCATCAGTTCAACTAACCATATTCAATCAACATCATTAAATAAAATTATCATGATTAAACTATCAGATCAATAGAATTTTCGACCTCATTAATAGTAGTAGTGTGGTGCTGTAGTGCGAACTACTTATAAGTAGTATATAGCGTGTGTCAACGTAAAGTCTGGTAGCATAATATGGGGGGAAGATCAAGAAAGGAAGAGTCAGAAAACAATGGAATTTGTATGAAACGCATGAATAGTGACAATGGATTGATGTTTGGCAACAGGAACAGTCCAGTTCCATAGGATGAACTGATCTTTTGCAAATGAACGATTTACGATATGGTTTTCCGATTTTACTGAGTAACTCTGTAATTTTCGTTAAATATAATTCGGTTGCCTCCACCTGTGTTCTCATTCACTACAGTAGCAGTAGATAAAATTTACGCACATAGAAATCAGAATACAAATGAAAGTTGAAGTATTATCGTTGTAATACTGTTTTTTAAAACTTTCGGTTTTTTTCAATTTTCTTTAAAGCACGTATGTCATTAATACGCTGGGTTAGTTAGATATGAGGTTAACATTGTAAGTAAGAGATTCTAATGGGGGTGTACACTTTTGGTCAAGATGGTGTTGATTCATTTTCTGGGAAAAAACAAACATACACCCGTGATTGAAAATGTGACTTGATTTTCTGAGGTGCATATAACTATACTTTTAAATGAGTTGTGCATCTATTTTCCATTCGGCTAACAATTTAAAGCTGCCTAATCCCTGTTAATTTTCTCTTCCAAGTGACTGTTTTGGGCTTGCCTATTTATCATAAGTAGAATCGGATGACCACATAACATAGTCATAACGTTTATTGCAAAAATTTTCTACATTCTGATTTTAATATAATCTCCATCTAAGTATATTCTACATATTGCTGGAGCCCCTGTGGGGCTACTGCCGGTCCCAATCCGGATAGAGGAGAATGAAGGTTGGGCGTGGGGTTGGCGACCCTATCCTGTAAAAAACTAACCCACTAAAACACGCTAACCAGAAAAATTAATTCAAGTAGCACTGGAATCCAGAATTCATGTTTAGTCCTTTTTGGAACCAATCAACTGGATATACTTGTAACCCACTGTTGATGTTCACATTCGAAATCAAACTCATTACCTTTCACTTCATACACTCAATAAGTTGCCCTCAAAAACTTACTAGCAAGGGTTTGTAATTTTTGATTGTTGATATGAAAGACTTCAGTTGATCAGTTTCTGTTGCCATCATATATATGCATCCGTTTTTCTCCTTTTACTCCTAATAGCTTTTACAAACACCTTGGCAATCTATACAATCAATAGAGAATTTAAAGCATGCTATTCAAACTGTACAGACTGTTGGTACGCTTAAATCAACCAATTCATGGTGGCCATCCAATGATAATCTAGGTAGTTTACTAGATACATTAGGTAGACAATATTTGATTAAATCGAAACTCATACAACGCTCACAATCAAATCATAATGATCAACAGCAACAATCTGATTGGTTATTTGCACAAAATGCTGGTCTATGGTGTTTACAACAATCTGTTCAATGGGTCAAATTACACTATGGTACTATTAGTTGTGAGTATTTATGGGAATTAATAAATTTCCTAAATTTATCCATTAATTGTTTTAATCAATTCGACAAGTCAATTCAATTGAATATATCTGAAGAATTTACAAGATTAAATGATCAATTTTTAAAATTACAAATGGATGATCCTACTATGTTTACGGATCAAAATTCAATTTTATCTGAGATAAACAAGCTTTCTACTATATTATATGGTTCTTATAAAAGTCGTATAATTATCGACAAGTTTGTTGTTCGGGTGCCCCAAATCATCTCTCAGAAAAGTCTATAGTGTTACAGGAACGCCAGCATTCAATAGGACCATCTCAGAAACTCCTGGACAATGCAGATTTACGGACCACAATTCTGATTGGTTATTTGTCCATATCACTACTATGCTTGGTATGGTGTCCGAACCCTCCAGAAGTCCAAGATAATGGTTTACTCTATAAATACGCTTATTTTTCTGTACAAAACTAACCTTGAAATAGAGCTTTCTTCTTGTACTTCACACCTTTTCTCTTGTGTTTAAGTCACAGTGTAGAGATTTAGTTTGGGGTTATGAGAAGCGACTTAAAAAATCAGATCTTGCGTTCACTTGGCAGACTTGTAATTTGCAGATATGTTAATAACACGTATGATTCGTTTGATATTTCATAAAATTTCATACTCATCTCTATCTAATCAATGCTATGTTAATTTATTGTTTCTTTCGTGTTAACTCTGATCAACTCACCAGTTCAAGCTGAAATATTCACTAGGTTTTGTACAGACCTTTATATATATATATTTTTGAAATACAATATAATTCTGTGCAAGATATCGATAAGTTTTAGGTCTGTGTACAGTTACATTGGAAATTGGGGTGTATAAAATTAATGAGTGCTGGTATATTTATGTTTGATTACTTACGGGATAGTAAGTGACTGATTTCATGTTTTTCTAACCCTTAGCGTCGATCAAATACTACCGATCAAGTTGACACTGTTACGATTGACAACTTCACCATCTCAATTGATATGCTTGAACTATTACAAGTTTACCTTAGTCAGTAAACGAGAGCGAGGATCGGTGATCCGGCGACACGACAAGCTACGCTAATCCGAGCGTCCCAAACCCCCATTAAGTAGAGGAAGAAGACTTGATATGAAGTAGAAAACGTATTCTATAAACATCCAGAAATTACGAGGCCCGAGTCCATAGGAGGATAAGGATCCGGGTCATGAAACGTTAAAGATAAAGCATTTTTATACAGTTCGGTGGAATAAGAAACAACATTTGAAATATATGACACTGATAGTTAGGACGACCAATAGGAATTAACCAATAGAATTAGACTTACAAAATAATTCTCTAAGGATATTTGATGAATATCCTAACCGACACGTGATCACTATTAGTCTCTAAGTGATCAACACTAGAGTATTAAACTAAAATGATATTACCTGCTTACTGAGTAATCAGTCCATTACAAATATCTCAATCCTCTTAGAGGCCAGTCACAACTCTATTCGTAGTAGCTCATTGATAACACCTCAGTTTACAAAACTGAATGATTATGAGAATTTGTACCCATTCGAGAGCATCAGTTCCTATTCGGTCCATGATTCCTTGTAAATTACCTCTAATTACCATAGACATCACTTTATATATTATCAGCATGATTGCTTCTCATTGTTCTGATTCTCTATAAACACTAATGAGAATGTACTTAGTCTATGGCTGATAATTTTTTTACTATCTATTTGTAGACCTTGTTAAAATGTTAATTTACTTTCACTAGATCGTTTGATTCAAAGTGTTCTATCCATAAAAGTGAACACATTCAAGTTGTGTTATTATCCCAATGAGCAAAAAATTAGTTCACATTAAATCACATAACTACTAATACAGAGCTTGGCATAAATACACGTTAACCTATTGTAAGATCCATTTTTGAAGGCTTTGTTTGTAAAAATCCCTCCATGTATACATTTGTAATTTGTCCTTATTGATTCCTTCAGTTGTACATTTCGGTAATCTGTTCGATTCCATTTGAGATGATAATATTTGTATTTTATTATAGTTTCTGTTTTACTTTCTGAACTGCACTTATGTTGTTTAAGCTGATACTTAGTCATGGTGACAGCCATATTGATTTGTTCCTCTTTTGATTGTGTTGCTTGCTTTGACTGGAATTGTGCATTTCGATTAAGAATTGAAGCACTCTTCCAGTATAGGAAACACTATGTGTTATATAGCAACCAAATATTATCTGCCAAATGAATCTGATCTATCCAGAAGTAATAGAATATCATTTATATGAATAATTAAACAATTGTCGGTGGAATAACTGTGGTAATATTGTTTAGAACCGTTATTTACCCAATCACTTGTTTTGATTTCAACTGGGCAAGGTGCGTATCTAAACTACCTAGACAGTTATTCCTCAGTCCAAACCTCAGTTTGGATCCTACACCTATGCTGACATATCATATTAGCACAAGTTGAATATTAAAAGAAGCTAAATACTTGTCATACAAATAATAATGAGGAAGATTAAGTATTGTAGTGTGGTGTGTGCTACTTATACGAACGATATAAGTAGTATAAGAAGGGACGTGAAAGAAGAAGTCTCACGGTCAGAAGAGGAAAACGGAAAGCAAATGGAGCAAAAGCAAGAAGTAAATGGAGTACCAACAGGAAGTAAAGGAAGCAACAGCAGGAATGGAAGAATGATGGAGCGTTGGAAGTCACGACTCAAAGATGGTGTGCAAATAGAGTGTTCAATGTAATGTTGTCGTTTTTAATTGACTAAGAGTGTAAATTTACAGTTCAAATATATAACTAATGAATTCGAGCAAGAAACAGTGTACGAATATTGTTAAAGCTCAAGAATGCATCTATGGCGCTGTGATTCATCTCCAATTATTGATTATCGATATCTTGTGATCTAAGGGATTCTAATAATTACTAATTAATTCTTACAGAGGTGATTGATTAGAAGTAAAATAGTTGTATATAGGGCAGCATCGGTCATACAAAATGTCCTGTTGTCATTGGAAATAATATTATGTACTGTTAGATATCTAATTTCATGATCTAGCGATCATACATTCTCTGTTGTTAACACAAAATGCTCCATGTTCCATTCTGTGAGTAAGGTTTTAGTTGTGCATCAGTGAATATTTTTTCAACTCAAATAAAACACTTTCAGTACTACTGTGAAGGATAGTTTTCAGTAAATCTTTATTGTCTCCATTGCTACCACTGGTGGGTCTATAGCACTAAGTGACATTCATTGTAATTCAGTCTTTCTTTGTCTTGCAAGATGCTTTGATGATCCTGAATCCATGAGATCCTCATCCTGTATGTACTTTCTGTTTTTTTGAACTCCATCAGTACAAGTCCTTGTGTGTGTGTGTGAGGTATTTTGTTTATGGCCGGAGTACAGCCGCATCTCTCCTAAAGCTAATCTTTTCGTCAAGATTGTGTTCAATGAGTTTCAATTATTCCATACAACTCCAGTTTGTATCTTTCTATTTCTTCAGCAACTTAAATGCCTCTCCTGATCTTCCGAATTGTGTGGACATTCTATGCACCGATCATAATTACTCCTCTGGTTGTCAGAAGGGACATGCGTCTCATGATTTCCAAAGAAACTTAGCTTTTATCATGTAGCATCAACTCTTCTAAATAAAGAGTATTCAACTCTCAGAGCGGAGTTTAAGTGGTGCAAATAATTTTCCCTTATGAGCGATTTATTAGCATTCCTCCGTTCGGTCTTCGGACCGACTTAAAATTGTTCCAGGTAAAGTTTTACACTAGAAATAAAGCAATAATTAGTTTTTTGAGTGGATCATGTAGATGTGTTTATTGTGAACAGGATGAAAACTGGAACTGAGAGCTCTCAGGTTTTCAATAGTTCACCAATTGAAGCTAATCCTCGATAAAAACTTTATCCTTAGTTCAATCAATCAAGCGAGTCTGTTTAAATTTGACTTTTTTTCATAAATTATTCCACACTGTTTTTTTTCTCTATAATAAGTAGTATTTTCAACATTTTATAAATCTTTTTTTTTATGATCCACAGTTGTAATGTTTATCTCCTAAAACATATAATCCATAGTATTGATCAGAATATACGACATCTAAAAATTGCACCGTTTTCCTAACATACATATCTGAATAATTTACATCATTTCATAGTTTACAGTAATAGAAATGAAAATAATTGAACAAACTGTCTTTCACATAAACATTCCTTCAATGTACAACAACATTTGAAATTGAAATTTACAGGGAATATGTTATTGTATAACATGGGAAAAAAACATTTGATTGACAAAGCTAAATCTATGTTTCATACCGTTTGCGTTAAATTTCCTTGAAGATTCTAAGCCAAACAATTAAGTTACGTGTAATAAAATTAGCCACTAAAATAATAGATTTGTGTGTAAAAATAAAAGATTGTACTTTTATTACTGATGACATATATTACTAACCATAATTCACCAGTTGTCTATGGTGTTTACATGGATCTAAGTCCAAACAAAGAATAAAATTAGATGGTGGAGAAGATTTCTAGCTCAGGTGGATGATTGTGATGGTGTTTGGTTCTTTTGAACAACAACATCGTCAGCACAAACTTCAGATAGAAGTGAAGTAATCGAATTTCACCGCGTTTGACCTGTAGATTGTTCTGCTAACCCCGATCTTGATTAGTTTCTGTTGACCTTAAACTGATCGTTGTTTGCACCTTTGTTTTGATTGTATCCCGCTTTTGATCTGTTTCTTGATCCTATGTCACCTATGATATGTTGTTGTTGTTGTTCAGAAGAACAATAAAAGCTCCACAACTAAAACATCCAGCTCAGAGAACCAAACACCACCACAAAGAATAAAATGATCAGATAAATTAAATAACCGGTTGTAAGATTAGTGCAATTCAATTCACGGAGTTGCGCAACCTCATACACAGTCTTCGGTAGACACTGCCTACACCCGAACAGGTTGAACTTCACTGGTCACGTCTTCCCACTAGAACTCGGAGAAGATTCCTCACGAAGCTAGTCACTAGTGAGCACAGGTAACTCCTGCGGGATGCAGGAGTCGTGGGTGCGCACTGCTGAGGAGTCCCATACCAGGACGAAACGGCCGTCCAGTGCTTCCAGGTTTCTAATCGTGGTCTAACATTGATCGATTCATGGTTTCAAAAATGTGTAACTTACCAATCTTCACAACCCCTGTAATAAAAACTGAATATTAATCATGAAATATCTATTTTTGAAATTCTATGTTCGATTTAAGCCATTTGGTCAAAGTAAATCAATCGATAACCGCATTAGACGAACACAAGTTTAGATAGTATGGACGAACGCAATTACAATCAAACAGGTTTGATTCTGTGTGTATTTGTTGTGCGTGTCATGTTGAGTGTGTAAAGTGTAAGATTTAGAAAAGTGGAATTTGAATATGTGTATGTATATTACTGATCTAAGAAATGAGTAGATTTGAATAAGATTGTGTGGATAG